TTTGGGCAAGTACCTTCCCTTCTCTGAGCCTTAGTTTCTTCAGCTGTGCGTTGAGGAAGTTGACTGGACAATCTCTAAGGCTCTGACCTTCTGTGGGTGTAGGAGTCCCAGACCACAGGCCAGACTGAGAAACTGCAGGCAGCCTACCCCTTCATGCCACCCAACCCACATTGCTTTTCTCTGCATTCTCTAGGACAAGCAGGAAGGAAACTGACATTCATTCATTCATTCATTCATTCCTAGATGCATCCATTCAATAGGCAGATATTAGGTACCTACTGTGTGCCCTGTTGAGAAATGAAACACACAATTTCCTACCCTCAAGGAGTGCAAAGTCTAATACGGGGTGTTGGCATGGAAACCAATTGTTATAATAAAAACCAGTTGCGGTTGAATTGATTCCAACTCATAGCGACCCCCTTGTGTGTCAGAGTAGAACTGTGCTCCATAGGGCTTTTAATGGCTGATTGTTTCAAAGTAGATGGCCAGGCCTTTCTTCCGAGGTACCTCTGGGTGGATTCAAACCTCCAGTCTTTCAGTTAGCAGGAGAGTGCATTAACTGTCTGCACCACCCAAGGACTCCATCATTATGATAGAATGTGATAAAGGCCATGTATGATTAATCTGTTTGCACAAGTCACTGTGGAATCCTCCTCTGTGTCATGTGCCACATTAGGGTCTTTGACATATATTAACTGTTTTCACTATTCACCCACAAGGAAGCAAAGCAGAGGGAGTGACTTACTGAAGGTCACCTGCTAGCACTTTACAGAGCTAGCCCTAGAATCCAGATCTTTGTCATTCAAAAGTCCGTGGGTATACTTGTGGGTAGGAAGTTAGCTTGAGGCAATGCCTGTGCATATGATCTCTAGGGATAGCGTACAAGTATAGCGATCTGTCTGGAATGTTCCTGCCACTTATTTGTGACAGAAGAGCTACTGCCTCCCCCCATAACTTCTGGGCCTGCTTCCATTTTCTCATTCTTCCCTTTCCAGGCAAGAAGAAGGGGCTCTCTGTCTGCCTATTGCTTCGGAACTATCCAGCCTGCATGACCCTCTCAAGGTCAGTGTGCCCATCCTCCTGTCCCAAACAGAGGAGGGTTGTGGTCCTGAAGAGACAGGGGTTTACATTCACTTCTATGACAGAGGAGTACTCCCACTTGGTGACTCCTTCCAATGTCACCCACGGTTTTAGGGAAGTTCTGCCTCACAGCTAACTCTAACCCCTCATGATCTGGTGTCAGCACATTCCACCTAGTTTAGTCCTCACTGCAGACAGAGAACAAACAGAGGTCCTACTCCTGGCCTTTCCCAACCCGGATAAGATCCTTTCATTCCCCATTTAGTTATTATAATTCCCCCCCACACACACACACACACTGCCTTCCCATCCCACCTCCACCTTAGGGGACTCTGGAAGAGGGACAGCACAACTCCTTCTGGATAACCTCAGAGCTCCTGGGAGACAAAAGACCACCGCTGCCTCCTTTTCCATTCATACACACTACCCTTCTCTGCAGGCTCAAGGAAAAGAGGAATAGAGAGAGGGGGCTGTGGAAGGAGCCAGCTGACCGGCTGGTCACCATGGAAACCAGGCCTATTTCCCAAAGATGAGCCTGGCTGGGGTGGGCGGAAGTCGGGAGAGGGGGCACGGCAAAGGGAAACAGAACACACCAGCAGAGAGAAAGACCGGAGGGGTCTGACCTCAGAGAAGACTGGGGCAGAGTAGGCCCTGACCACACCATGACCTGAGTCGAAGTCCCAGGTCATCCTTCCAGATAACATTGCCATGATCCCTCTCCCCATTCCTGGAGTGTCCCCAGGAGGGCTTCCTGTCAGAGTTCCGGCTCTGGTGCTGGAGGCAATGGGTGACTCAATGCTGACCTCATGTGGCCAGAAAAGGGGCTGCCACACACCTGGCTGAGATATCCGAAAAACCCGAAACCCATTGCTGCGGAGTCAGTTCCGACTCCTAGCGACCTTTTTGAGAGTAGAACTGCCCCATAGGGTTTCTAAGGCTGTGATCTTTACGGTCTTCCTTATTTATTGTCCAGCTTTCTCATGCATATGAGGCGATTGAGAATACCATGGCTTTGTCCACAATCAGCATCCACGGAAACAGCAGTCAAGAAATCAAACGACAAATTGCATTGGGCAGTTCTGCTGCAAAAGACCTCTTTAAAGTGTTAAAAAGCAAAGAGGACTAAGGTGTGCCTAATCCAGGCCATGGATGAAGAAGAACTGATGCCTTTGAATTATGGTGTTGTCGAGGAATATTGATTATACCATGGACTGCTAGAAGAAGGAACAGATCTGTTTTGGAAAAAGTACAGCCAGAATGCTCCTTAGAAGCAAGGATAGTGAGACTTCGTCTTGCTTACTTTGGACATGTTATCAGGAGAGACTGGTCCCTAGAGAAGGACATCATGCTTGGTAAAGTAGAGGTTCAGCAGAAAAGAGAAAGACTCTCAAGGAGATGGATTGACACAGTGGCAGCAACAATGGGCTCAAACAACGATTGTGAGGATGGCGTCAGACCGGCAGTGGTTCGTTCTGTTGTGCATGGGGTTGCTACGAGTTGGAACCTACCTGATGACACCTAACAATAACAATAACAAATTCTTTATGGTAGCAGACTGCCACGTCTTTCTCCCACAGACAGACGGGTGGGTTCGAACCGCAGACCTTTTCGTTAGCAGCCAAGCGCTTAACCACTTCGAGACCAGGGCTCCTCAATCAGACATCAGGTACCTAATATCTGTCTTTGGTCAGGGCCAGATATCCGACTGGGTTAGGGTTGATTTTTCCTCAAATGCAGCGTCTGGGCAAATGAAAGGGGTGGTTACTGTACACTCATGAGTTTTTGTGTCCTGTATAGGGTCACTATGAGCGGAAGCCCTGGTGGCATAGTAGTTAAGTGCTACAGTCAGCAGTTCAAATCCACAAGGTCCTCCTTGGAAACTCTATGGGGCAGTTCTACTCTGTCCTATAGGGTTGCCATGAGTCGGAATCAACTCGACCGCAACGGATTTGTTTGTTTTTTTTTTTGTTAATGGAGACTCAGATGCCCCCACCCCATGCAGTTTCAGTCTTGAAAAAACAAAGGTTTCACTGAAAAAATTTTTTTTACAGCTTTGTATTAAAGACAAGTGAACTCTGCTCTGCACTTCCTGACTGTTTGACTTTGGACAAGTCAACTCACCTCTCTGGGCCTCAGCTTCACAACTGTAAAATGGGGATGATAATGCCTGATTTTGAACCCAGGCAGTCTAGGTCAAGAGTTATTACTACATTTTGCTCCAGCCTTTGAGGATGGGAGAAGAATATACCAGGAGAGGAGGTTGAGAACATCTGAAATTACGCTTACCCCAAGGGAAGGGGATGCTGTCATTTCCTTGGGCTTTCCCATCCCAACACACAATGATAGGAAGTTCTCCCTCTTGGCTTCTCAGTGCTTCATGCTCAACATATGCTCTGCTCATCCAAGAGGATGGAGAACAGTGCACAGCGTCTCCTTCCTGCAGCCCTCCTCTCTCTCCAACCACCCCCCAGAGACCAGGTCCTTCTCTTCTCCCAGCCTGCCTCCCTTCCCATTCCCAGTTGGAATGGAGCCTTCTCTGCCCCTTATCCCACTGGGTAGGTGGCTTGACTGTGTGCCCTGACAGCACCCTGTTCTCATTTCTGTCTTAGCACAGCCACTCTGTGTTGTAATTGTCAGGGAGCTTTGTTTTAAATTTTATTTTGTTGTTGTTGTTGATAGTATGCACGGCAAAACATACACCAAGCCAGGGAGCTTGTATCTTTTGTTGTTGGTGATGGTGGTTTTTGGTTATTACTGTTACTGTGATACTCATTTTTGCCTCCAGCGGCAAGAATAATGTCAGACATATTGAAGCTCTATACATGATTGTCAAAGGAGTGAATGGATAGCTGAATAAACCAAGGTTACATGGGGGAGGGCAGTGGGGAAGCTGGTTAGGAGCTGTCTACATTCACCCCAGCCCCCTCTCCCAATGTCAGAGGTGGAAAAGGTGGATGTTCCCTTGAGAGCGATTCCCTAAGGGCATTGCTGGATCCTAGGCCACTGGTGCTTGGGGGAGGAGAAACAAGGAAGGGGGTAAATCATGGAACACTCATTTGGGGCTCACCAGGTGGGTGGGAGTTCTCCTAAGGCCTCCCTGGGCCCAGGGAAAGCAGCAATGGGAAAGGAAGAAAGATGGGCTGGGGCTGGGTCCTTGTCAGGGATCTCAGCAGAGTGTGGCTCAGCATGTCTGGGGCCTCCCCCTCCTGGCCCCACCATGAGGAACTAAACTTCCCTGGCTAGTAGGGGTAACCAGATGCTGCAACCACCGGAGGCCAGTGTTTCACCCCTGTGAGGAAGAAGAAACCCCATGGCCATTCGGCTTTTTTAAACACCAGTCTGCCTGAGAAACCTACTTTCCAAAAACAAATCCTCATGCCCAATTCTATGTGATCTGGAAGTTGACACAGGAGACCCTCTCTCCAGGACCCACTTTAAAGATAGTGGGTGTCCCCTTTCTCCACCCAAATTTGTGGGCACTGATAGGAAACGAAGAGAAAGCAAGAGAAACGGGGAGGGGATGGGAAGCAATGATTCCCCATCCCACCACCCACCTGTTCTCCCCACAAGATGTCCAGCTCATGCGGACGATTAATAAATATTTCTTTAAAAACCAACATAGAATTAATGAATGAAATTAAGAAGGAAAGGGGAATAAGTGAATGAATGGGTGGATGGATGAATGAAAGAAAGGATGGATGGATAGATGGATAGATGACTGGACTAACGAACGAGTGAGTCAGGAGCGGTTAAGCCATGACTCGGAACCAACGCAGAGGGAGGGATGAGGGGGATTCCGGAGGGGCGGGGCCACTGTCCGGAAGCGCTGTGGGGGCGGGGCCGGGGGCGGGGCCGCCCGGCGCGCGGCCACCCTGTGGGCTGAGGGGCGGGGCGAGGGAGAGGACCAGACACGGCTGCCTGCTACGCTGAGTAGCCGCTGCGGTGGATCTGGTCTGTCTCCGACCCTTGTCTACACTTCTGGTCGACCCCTCGGACCCTCCAAAGCCCAGGAAGGAGGCCACTTTGGGCCAGGTGCCAGCTCAGCGAGGCGGCCCCGCAACCCGGAAAGGCAGCGCAGCGGAGTCCGGAGCCGGATCCTGCTGGAACCCGGCCCCCGCGGGCCGGCGCCGCGGGCATGTCGGAGGCGCGGAAAGGGCCGGACGAGGCGGATGAGAGCCAGTATGATTCCGGTATCGAGTCTCTGCGCTCTTTGCGCTCCCTGCCCGAGTCCACCCCGGCCTCCGGGCCCTCCGACAGCGGCAGCCCCCAGCCCTGGACCCAGCCCCGGGGAAACGCCAAGGAGCCACAGGAGAAGGAAGACGCGGATGGGGAGCGGGCTGATTCTACCTATGGCTCCTCCTCACTCATCGAACCCCTGCCTTTGCTGGGGGGCGCCGAGGCCGAAGACCCTGCCCCAGGCTCGCCGCTCCTCCCCGCGGGGGCGCTGAGCCCTCAGCAGCTGGAAGCACTTACTTACATCTCCGAAGAAGGAGACACGTGAGTTCGGGGCCGAGGCTCAGGCAGGACCCCTTCCTCCCAATTCTAACTCTAGGCCTCCCCAGGAGCCGCTACAGGCCAGGCTCCCCTCCACCCCCACAAGGATCCTTCTAGGCAACCGCCCGGAAAGGGGCAGTCCCCACTGTCTTCCAGACTCCAAACTCTCAGCCAACTTTTGAGTTCTAACCAGGCCGTAGGACTTAGCATCATCTCTCTGCTCTCCCTTTTGGAGGTGGGCAGAGCCCTCCTCAGACGCCTGGAACCCCAGCTAGCATCTTGGAAACCTACCAATAACCCACCCCTAGGAAGAGAAAATTCCCCTGACCAGTCCAGTTTTTTTCTTTTTTTCCCTTGAGGGGGAGGGGGCATCCTTGTTTACTCAGTATCTGGGATTCTCATCTCCTGACCTCAGAATGCCCTGTCTCAAGGAACCAGAGTTGCCAGTTACAGGTTGCCAGTGGAGGCTGGGAGGATAGGTAGGGGGGTGCCACGGTGCAGAGCTGGGGCTGGCTCTGAGGAGGAGTAGGTGAGCCAGGCTGGAGCACCCTTGCCCCAGCAGACAGACAGGCGGCTGGCTGCCCCAGCTTACTTCCTCCTCTGCAGGGAAAGGGGAAGTGACGGCTGGAATCAGCCTGCCCCATGCCCTCCCCGTTCTGAGCCCCCCAGGCCCCCTCACTGTCCTGCCTAACCCCCCCATTTACTCTTACCACCTCCCCCCCCCCGAGACCCAGGTGGATCTTGATGGGGACTGGGCTAGAGGGCAGTTGAGATGAGAAGCAGATGTGTGGGAGGAGCTGGCCAGCTGAGGACTTGCCCCTCAGAAAGAAGAAAACACGGACAGGGGAGGGGGTGGCTGGGATTTTGGATGAGAAACAGAGAGGCTGGGGTCCCATACTAGGGCAACCAGGATAAATGAATGGGGATGGAGGAGGCAGCGGGGGTGCTGGCCCTGACCTTTTTGGAGGTACAGGGGTCCTAATTCTGCATGGCTTTGGGCAAAGATGGTTGGTGGAAGAGGAGTGAACCAGGCCTTTTTGCACTGTGTGCCTGCATCACCAGCCCTCAGGCCCAGAACCCCAAGATTTCAGGGGCTCCATGTAAGATATCTACAGCTGACTTTTGATCCAGGAAGTAGGAACTTGTGACCCTGGCCTCCTTTCTTGGTCTTTCAGCCCCACTTTTACCATCTCTATAAGAGACAGGTGTACTAGTCCAGATTATGTGTGGGAGAAAGAGCGTCAGGATTCCCCAGGGGTTCGCCAGAGACAAGGGGGCACTTTCCTCCCTCAGAGGTATCTGGGTTGTGGGAGGTATGGAAGTGGGAAGAGGAAGTGGGAGGAAGGGAGAGAGGGAGAGGGAGGTGGCTGCAGGAATGTGACCCAGAGAGCAGGCCCTGGCTGAGGGGATTTCCAGAGTGGTTCCTCCCTCCCGTCACTCTCTCCTGGGCCTCTCCTGCTGCCTGCCTGTCTCCAAAGCCAGCCCCCTCTTGCCTGAGCAGCCCCTTCCCCAGCCCAGATACAAGCCTCTCACTCAGGCTCCAAGGCAGCTGTCCTGGCCCAGACCTTGCTGCTCTGGCTTTCATTTTCCCACCTGACGTAGGGAAACCCCAGGACACGGGAACTCCCCTCCCAGCTGCCTCTTCTCCCTTAGTTTAAGGTTCTTGGCCTCCAATAAGCATGCATTTTCTGCACTGCACAGACCTCTCCTCGAAGTTGCACTCAGGAGTCGAGGGCCTCTGGTCAGGCCCACCTTGCCTGTGCTGTCTGGAGGGGTCCCTTTTGACTCCCTGTGAATGTCAATAGGACAGGATGCCGTGCTGTCTCCTTGCTCCTCTTCCAAGAACTGTTTTCTGTCCCGTGGAATGTGTAACACTGAGTTGCTGGAGGGGTGACCCCACACCCCACCGCCTCTTTTCTCCCTATTGGGGTGGGAGGTGGGGAGCACAGCCCTGGAAACCCCCTCTGGGCTCCTCCGACAGCTTTCAGTTTGGCTTTGAGCTGCAGCTGGCCTGGTGGGGCCCTGGGGGCAGAAGGATGTGGGGTGTGGGCAGACTATGGACAGGAAGGCCCTTGTCCCATCAGCACCCTGCCCACATTCCCACCCAGCCAAGGCCCTCCTGAAGGCCAGAGATGGGAACTTGGAGCTCTCACCCCCAGGATCCTGGCTTCTCACACCAGCCCTCACTTCCTGGCCCAAACTCTCACTTCCTGCACCTACCCAGTGGGTGGCTGTTTGGTGGTTAATGTGTTCTTTCTAACCCCAGGACCCTAGTTGGCTCTCTAGCCTGGGCCCTGACCCCAAGCCTTGCCCCTGACCTCTCCCCAGGCTGGTCCACCTGGCAGTGATTCACGAGGCCCCAGCTGTGCTGCTTTGTTGCCTGGCTTTGCTGCCCCAGGACGTCCTGGACATTCAGAACAACCTTTACCAGGTAGGTAGAGAAGGTGGGCTGTGCTCAGATACCCATACCTGCCCTGGCAGCCATCCCCAGCAGCCATACAAGATTCCTTAGGCTGCTCGCTCAAGAAGCCATATACCAGACACTGGTCTAGAAGATGAGGATTCAGAGATGGGTAAGAAAGACGCAGCCTCTGCCCAAAAGGTGCTCACATCCTGGGGTAGGTAGGGAACTCATGTCAACACCTAATTACACAACATGGTGATAAGAGTTGTGGTAGAGACATACCAGCTGCTGTGAGATGCAATTTATGTGTGGCGCAGCCAGGGAAGGCAGTCCAGGAGATCACATCTGAATGAGGCCTCGAAGAAGGAGTTTGCCATCTTTCCTCCCTGCAAGCCCTTCCCTACAGCCTGGTCCCTGGGGATAATGAGGTCTCTCCAGAGGGTGAAGGGCTAGACCCTGCCCCCATCTGGCCTTTCTTCAGGGGCTAAGAGGGCCTGCAAGAAGGGCAGGGGGCCACTTCCCTCACCCTGCTGCCAGAATGGAAATCCCAAGAGTTTGTGGAGTGACAGAGGGAAGGGCTTGGTAGTGTTTCCTTTGAAGACCATGGCCCTGGACTTTATAGGCTGCCCTCAAAGGTGCTGGCAGGTGGGAATTCCTGTGCCCACCTTAGCATGTTCCCAGAGGGAGGGGCATGCCACAGTGGCCCTGTTACTCTCTACTTGTGCCCACAGACAGCGCTTCACCTGGCTGTACATCTGGACCAGCCGGGTGCAGTTCGGGCTCTGGTGCTGAAGGGGGCCAGCCGGGTGCTACAGGACCGGCATGGTGACACAGCCCTGCACGTGGCCTGCCAACGCCAGCACCTGGACTGTGCCCGCTGCTTGCTGGAGGGGCGGCCGGAGCCAGGCAGAGGACCGCCTCACTCCCTAGACCTCCAGCTGCAAAACTGGCAAGGTTCGGGCAGCCTAGGGGTCCTGTAGGATGAGGAGGGGGCAGGAGACAGGGATTCCAGTCTCAGGGAAGGGAGGGCCACAGCATGTTCATTGACTCACGTCCAGCTCTAAGCATATAGGTACTCAGTACATCTTTGCTGAATAAATGAGTGATGAATAAAGGAATTTGATTTAGAATTTACCAAGCACCTACTGTATGCTGATTGCAACTCACAGAAACCCTATAGGACAGAGTACAACTGCCTCACAGGGTTTTCAGGCAGCAGCTGGTGAATTTGAACTGCTGACCTTTTGGTTAGCAGCCAGTATCGTAACAGGGCTTCAGTAGGATCGCTATGAGTCGAAATCGACTTGACGATAACGGGTCTGTGTTTCTTTTGGTACTATATGCTAAGCAGAGAGCTAACCCTGCCCTCAGTATATTCCGTTTAATAGAGATTAGATGAACTCATTCATTCATTCAGCAGAAATGTACTGAGGGCCCTCTGTGTGCCAGACATGATTTAGGGCTGGGCGTTCATCTGTGAACGAAACAGAGTGAGACAGACAGTATATATAAGAAGTAAATTATGTAGTGTGTTAAAAAATAGTAAGAGCTGTGGAAAAAGAGCAGAGTAAGGGGAATAATGGTGGGGGGGGTTGGGAGCGGGAGGCCTGATGTGATTTTTAAATAGAGTGGTCAGGGAGGGCCTCGTGGAGCAGGGGCATTTGAACAGACTTTGCAGGAGATGAGGGACGTGAATGTGAACCTAATTCTCTACTACTAGGCAGAGTAGGCTCTGGGGCAGGGGAGCACACATGAGGAAGTGGCAGCTGGGGAGGTCCTGGGGGTGTGAGGATCCCAGAGAGCTTCTCAGAGAAGGCAGCTTTGGGACTGGGCTTGAAGGCAGTGTGTGTACAGGTGGGTATGTGTGTGGGGAGGGAGGGGTCTCTCAGCAACCTGACCCTTGAACCGTGAAAGTTTCAATAACATGACTCTGAAAATGTGGAAACTTTGAGTTCCTTTCCCCTCAGACTTTTGAGGGGGTTTTTGGGTTTACGTTTTAACGGTCCTGTGATCAGAGGCATTGAGTGGGCAGTGGGTCCCTTGGGGCTGAGGGGTAAGGAGGTCCCTGAAGAGAAGGGAGGGAGGGAGTTAGCGGATGCAGATCAGCAGCTCCTGCCCTCACTGCATTCCAGGTCTGGCCTGTCTGCACATCGCCACCCTGCAGAGGAACCGGCCACTGATGGAACTGCTGCTTCAGAATGGAGCTGACATTGATGTACAGGTGAGGCAGCCAATCAGGGAGCTGTCAGGGTGCTCCCCCCACCTCCAGTCCAGCCCCAGGTCCCCTGCCCATCAGTCGGAAGTGGTGGTGCTCAACTCCTCATCAATGGCTCAGGCCCAGCACACTGCCTCTTGAGGGCCTTGGCTGATATCCATATTCCCTTCCAGGAAGGCACCAGCGGGAAGACTGCGTTGCACCTGGCTGTGGAAACCCAGGAGCGGAGCCTGGTACAGTTCCTGCTCCAGGCTGGTGCCCGGGTGGATGCCCGTATGCTCAACGGGTGCACTCCCCTGCACCTCGCAGCTGGCCGGGGCCTCAGCAGCATCTCATCCACCCTGTGCGAGGCAGGAGCTGACTCGCTGCTTCGGAATGTGGAGGATGAGACACCCCAGGACCTGGCTGAGGATGTAAGAGGCATACATACTGTGCTCCGCCCTCGAGGACCTCCCATTCCCAGAGCAGGGACTGGAATCAGCTGAAAGGGCCAGACTGGAAGTTAGGAGCCCAAGGTCTAATCCAGGACTCTGCCACTAACTAGTTGTGGGACCTTGGGCGAGACTCTACCCCTCTCTGAGCCTGTTCCCTTAGTTGGACAGGACCAGGGGGCCCAAAGTGGGACTCCTACAGGGTCCCTGCAGCTACAGTGAATCGGTGAAGCAGGCCTAAGACAAGAGAGGGTGGTGGAGCCTGTGGGAAACTAAGAGTCCACGCCGCAGGGCCCCTGTGCTCATCAGCAGCAGATGGTTGCAGAGTAGGAACACAACCCATGTTACCAGGTCTTCCAATTTTTTAAGAGAGGTGAAACCAAGATTTTCTGTGCAGTCTTCCCCGTTTTTAAGTGTTCAATATAAAAAGTATTCAGAACGTTTTGTGGGCACCCTCTGCCACCCCCAAAATACCAGACCTGTGGGCTAGACCACCTCTAAGGTCCCTCCTAGCTCTGATATTCTGGCATTATCTTAGAGAATGAGGGCTTGCCTTAGGCATCAGGGCTCTGTCTAGCCCAGAGGGGCCACTGTCTTCTGGAAATAGAAAGGCTTGTTCCTTGATGTCCTTTAACTGTCATTTGGTGGAGAGGGAGTGGCCCAACAGCTTTCCCCAGCTTCCCTCTCTGGCTACTACCTTTATTTTTATGACCCCTGACCCTGCTTCTCTCCATTCTTTCTCTCAGCCCTTTGCTCTTTTGCCCTTCGATGACCTGAAGATCTCAGGGAAGCCGCTTCTGTGTGCTGACTGAAGCCCAGGCAGGGTCTGGGGCCCTGGGGTGCCTCCTCTTCCCATCTGGAAGCTGAAGCCACAGCTGCTGCAGTTTGGGCCCAGGCAATGTACCATTCTGGTGCCTTGGGGATTGCAGGGGCCACAGCCTGGGGCCAGCACAGTCCTGAGCTGAGAGGAGGGATCAAAAGGTAGAGAGAGCCAGTCTGGAAGGACAAGCTTCCCCAGTGGATGGAGACTCTCAGAAGACCCCCAGAGGTATCCCAGGCATCCTGGGCGAAGCTTGTTTGCCCCTCTGGAAGATGGCAGAGGCTCCTGTTTCTGCCCACGTTGGATCAGCCGAAAATTGCCAACCAGTGCAAAAACATGGACTCTCCTGAGTGAGAGAGGCTGAAACATAAGCAAGCAGGACCCTGAGGGGGTCCCATCTTACTGCTGTTGAGGACTCTAAAAGACTTGTTTAAAGACTTCATGCAGAAAGCCCTGGCTGAAATGAGCCTTTGGGGGAGGGGAAGTTTCAGTAATATGACACTAAAATGGTAGACTTTTTAAAAGTTTTCCCCTCTAGAGTTGTTTTGTGCGTATGCATATCTATGTGTGTGTGTTGGGGATTTTTAGACAGGCCTGCCCTGTGACCTTGTGGTAGAAGCAGAGGGAGAGAAATTGTCCCCTGGGCAGGGTAGGGCCTTAGTGGGTGGGGGTGGAATACAGTGGGTAATAATCCTCAGGCCCTCCTTTCTTACATCTCAGACACCTGTCCTTTCTATGGAAATGCAGGTGGAGAGAAGGAGGGATGGGAAGACACAGGCCCTGGAGGCCTCGTCACTCTCCTGGCAGCTGCCATCTGGAAGAGCTAGTTTAGGGAGGGTGGGCAACAAGGGAGCTGTGACTTAAAAAATTTTTTTTTCCTCTTTCCACACCTGTTTGAGGACCCTGCGAGGTCAGGCCTACGCTGGGGTGAAGAACATGGGGGTGTAAACCAACAAGGTGTCTGTCACTTGGAGCTTATAGTCTAGTGAGACAGTCCTGAAAATCATAAACTTACAAGTAAATATGTGATTATAAGTTGCGGTAAGTGCTGTGAAGGAAAAGAATAGTGAGAATGAAAATGCTTTGGGTGGTCAGGGAACTCCTCTTATTTCAACTCTGACGACATAAGGATGAGTAAGGGATGACTGCGGACTGCATTCAGAAGACCGGCCTCTGGTGAATTAGAGGAACTAAGAGCAGACCAGTGGGACTCTACGCCGGGTAGGTGAGTGGGCGAGGAGGACAGGGGCCAAGCCAGGCAGAGCCTTGAAGGTCATGGGGAGTGGGGGACAGGATTGCTGACCCAGACAAAAAGGGAAGGGGGCATCTCCATCCTGTCAGAAAGCAGGAAAACTAATACAAGGGGAAGTGCCTGGAACGCAGAATCTCAATGCCCACGTCCATAATATGGCAATGGTCACCATCACCTCCCGGGATGATTGTGAGCGTTAAAGGCGCTCACAAAGCAGAGGGGAGACACCGGGAGGGCGCCCTTCAAAGGCTGGGGGCTCCCCGCTTTCCCCTCCCAGGAAAAGCCTAGCTTCCCGGAACCGAGCCGCGTCTCCCTCCGGGCCGCGCGAGGGCGCTGTGGCCGGCGGCGGCCTGGGGCGCTACATGGTCACGGCGCGGAGCGGAGGGGCAGCCACCGGAATGGAGGCGGGAAGAACGCGGCACTTCCGCTAGCCGCTAGCTCACTGGCTGCTCCAGGAGGCGGCGGAGGGAGTGCGCGGCCCGGGGACTGCATTCCCCGGTCCCCCTCCGCCCCACGCGGCCGGGAACATGGACGCCAGGTGAGGGGCTAGGGGAGCGATGGCTCTCACGTGACTGAGCCCCTGGGCCACGTGACTGCCGCCCCTCCGAACGGGGCTCCGGGTGGCGTCTTCGCTTCTGGGCTGGAGGCCCACATAGCGCTTCCCGTAGCAGGCTGGGTTGGAGGGCAGGCATGGTCTTGTGCCCCTTGCGGGGGCTTCGGGAGTGTCGGGTTGAGGGGTTGGGCAACCCTGGCGCTACGGGAACGTGGAGGCGGGGTTAGGAAGACAGGGCGCCGCCGCCGGCCTGAGCAGCCGGCGAGCGCTAGAGGGAACAGAGGGGACCTGTGTGGCCGGAGGGGCGGGTCCGACCCTGGGGAGGGAGGAGCCCTGCTTAGCCCGCACCGGTCCCCCTCCCTGCCCCCGGAGAGAGAGAGGTTCTTTGTCCAGCTGGGCTGCAGCGGAGGGCGAGGGGGAGGAGACACCGGGCCCTTCTCCAGTGTGGCCTCGGACCAAGTGGATAAGGAACTGCACCCTAAACCTTGTGTCCGCTACCCCTGCAGGTGGTGGACAGTGGTGGTGCTGGCCACGCTCCCCTCCCTAGGGGCAGGCGGGGAGGCTCCTGAAGCCCCTCCGGAGTCATGGACCCAGCTATGGTTCTTCCGCTTTTTGGTGAATGCTGCTGGCTATGCCAGCTTTATGGTGCCTGGCTACCTACTGGTGCAGTACTTCAAACGGAAGAACTATCTGGAGACAGGTGTGTGGGGAAAGGGCGGGGAATTGTGGTAGGTTCGGAATTCGGGCTGTGGCCGGCAGTCCAGACGGATGTGGCTTAGGGAGGGATGGGCCAGGGAGGCCAGCAGGGCAGAGTGGCTGCTCTGAAGGATTAGATGATACGGGAAAGATTTGGGGTGTGACTTTGTGTACCTTCTCCAGGTAGGGGCCTCTGTTTCCCCCTGGTAAAAGCCTGTGTGTTTGGCAATGAGCCCAAGGCCTCCGATGAGTCCCCCCTGGCTCCCCGGACAGAGTCAGCAGAGACCACCCCCACTTGGCAGGCTCTGAAGCTGCTCTTCTGTGCCACAGGCCTCCAGGTAGGTAGGCAGGCTCTGTTTTTTTCCTGAGCTGCAACCAAAGTTTTCACCATACCAGTCCTACTGTAACAGGTTTGCTGGTTGGTGTGTTATGTGTCCCCCTCCTCCTCCCTGGGGCACACTGCACCCCCATCTTCTTGGAGGTGGTTGGAGGAAATGCTGCCTTTTCTTTCCTCCTTTTTCTCCTCTCCCAGCGCTGATATCAAAAGTAAGAGAGGCCTTATCCTCTTTTCTGTGATTTCTACTGTTCTATTATTACGCTTCCCCCTGCACCAATGTGTCTCATATACTGTGACCCCACTGATAAAACATTGGGCAGGGAGGGGGGGCACTCTGCCCTTCCCCAATACTGCATGTGAGAGGAGTGCTAGGATGCTGACTGCATGACACCTCGGAGTGGGTAGTAGTCCTGCCTTGCATATAATGATGAACTAAGAGCTGTCCAGCTCTAAGAAGTCTTGCCTCCATGAACTGGTGAAGGATAGGAAATGCTTTCGATGGAGTCAGCTCCAAAATACCCATACTGTGGGGACAGAGACAGTCTGGGCAGTCTTAAAGCATTTGTCACATTTGATTCCCTACAAGCTGAATCCTGGTACCGACAGTCCAGACTTGGAAGAGGAGAGGAAACTACTAGTAACTACAAAACCAAAAACCAAACCCACTGCTGTCGAGTCGATTCTGACTCATAGCGACACCAGGGGACAGGGTAGAACTGCCCCATTGGGTTTACAAGCCTGTAAATCTTTACAGAAGCAGACTGCTACATCTTTCTTCCACAGAGCTGCTGGTGAATTCAAACCTCTGACCTTCTGGTTAGCAGCGTAGTTACTACAGAGGAACAAACAAAATGTATGCTGTCCTTTAAATCATTTAGACATCATCCTGAGGAAGAGGGAAGTTGAGATCCATTTTTGCCCACCTTTTCCTTCTCTTGCTCATTGGCTCCTCGTTTCTCCCCTGCCCGTACTAGGTGTCCTATCTGACTTGGGGTGTGCTGCAGGAAAGAGTGATGACCCGCAGCTATGGGGCCACGGCCACAACACCAGGTGAACGTTTCACGGACTCACAGTTCCTGGTGCTCATGAACCGTGTGCTGGCACTGATGGTGGCCGGCCTCTACTGTGTGCTCTGCAAGCAGCCCCGACACGGGGCACCCATGTACCGGTACTCCTTTGCCAGCCTGTCAAATGTGCTTAGCAGCTGGTGCCAGTATGAAGCTCTCAAGTTTGTCAGCTTCCCCACCCAGGTGCTGGCCAAGGCCTCCAAGGTGATCCCTGTTATGCTGATGGGCAAGCTGGTATCTCGGCGCAGCTACGAGCACTGGGAATACCTGACAGCCGGCCTCATCTCCATTGGGGTCAGCATGTTTCTGCTGTCCAGTGGACCAGAGCCCCGCAGCTCCCCGGCCACCACACTCTCAGGCCTCATCCTGTTGGCAGGCTACATTGCTTTTGACAGCTTCACCTCGAACTGGCAGGACGCCCTGTTTGCCTACAAAATGTCATCAGTGCAGATGATGTTTGGGGTCAACTTCTTCTCCTGCCTCTTCACAGTCGGCTCATTGCTGGAGCAGGGGGCCCTCCTGGAGGGGACCCGCTTCATGGGACGACACAGTGAGTTTGCAGCCCATGCCCTGCTGCTCTCCGTCTGCTCAGCCTGTGGCCAGCTTTTTATCTTCTACACCATCGGGCAGTTCGGGGCTGCCATCTTCACCATCATCATGACCCTCCGCCAGGCCTTTGCCATCCTTCTCTCCTGCCTCCTGTATGGCCACACTGTCACTGTGGTGGGGGGGCTGGGTGTGGCTGTGGTCTTTGCCGCTCTTCTCCTGCGAGTCTATGCCCGGGGTCGCCTAAAGCAACGGGGTAAGAAGGCTGTGCCCATTGAGTCCCCTGTGCAGAAGGTTTGAGAGGGCAGAGGGGCCAGAGGGGTGAAGTGAAATAGGACCGGTTTTCCGTTCCAACTTCTTGTCAGAGGTGACTGGCTCGAGGGCAGAATGCAGGTTTTCTTCTCAGTATCACAAACCAGCTCTGCAGCTGGGGGTGGAGAGCCCAGGAGGCAGCCTTCCCCTTTGCCTTAAGTCATACTCCAGTAGGCAGGTGTCTTCTCAGCCCCAGGGCAGGCTATGACTAGATGATTGTCCTCTCAGCCCCAGGGCAGGCTATGACTAGATGACTGTCTGCCTGGTGGGGTGGGGGAGGAGGCCAAGGCACCTTCAAGGCCCACTCCCTCTTCCAGGTTCCCCCATCTCACCCTGGCTGTTGGTTCTGCCATCAGCACCTCAGCTGTGCTTGTTCCTCACCTTGAACACCTACTCTTCCGGTCCACTCCCTCGAGACACCTGCATTTCTTACTTTGGTGAGAAAAGCACAAGTACAAGCGCCAGTGCTGCTTTTCCAGGAGGGAGGAGGCGGCAAACCCCACCCAGCACCTCTATCCCCTCCTAGGCGCTGCTCCAGGAGCCACTTGCAGGTTTTGGTACTTCAAAAATAAAAATGTAACTTTTGCTCTTATAATTTTATTAAATTCCTACAAGAGGCTTGTCCTGTGTTTTGGTTTATGTATATAGGCTTTGGGAAGGGAACTGAAAGGACATTTATTACATAATTATTCCAAACTACCTTTAATATCAATGTGTAAATTCTAAACAGCTGTTTCCAATATTTTTTCAACTAAACCATTGGACTTTGCCCACTACTAAGCTCTGATTGATTTAGGTTTTAATTGTGTACCATATACCCCTTAATCACAAATGCATAATAAAAAACCCAGCTTGCTATGCCTAGGATGACAGCAACCACAGTTCAGAGATGGTAGGAGAAAGTTACGGAAATATAAAACGCAGTTACCATATGCACAAAGGAGAGCAGAAGTGTATAAAACAGCATCTTTATTTTGCATACTTTAATTTCAAAACAAAATAAAAAAAACCCTCACAATACACAACACATCCAACCCCATTCTCAAATAAGGGATGGGACTGGGCCTGAGGCCCTTACATCCTACCTTACACTCTCAAGAACAGGAGAGGACCGAAAAAAAAAAAAAACCCACTAGGTATCAACAGATGGAGTCAACTGGGACACAGCCACTCAGGCTGCTGTGGGAGACACAGGGACACTATACAGAGAACACGTTTACGGGTAGAAACTCCTAATCTACTTCTTCCATGCGAGATGCATCCTCATCACCCTCAAGGGGGGGGATCTCATCAGGAACAGCAGCACTGGGCTCCTCAGCTGTCACTTCGTCTTCGTCAATGCCTGCAAATGAAAAAATGCCAAAATGAGATTTGGACCCCATAGCATTAAAAAGTCTTCTCTCCAAGAAGCTAACTCCAACAACTCCTTGCCACACCAGAGTAACAAGGCTACTCACCTAAGCCCAGCTTGATCATGCGGTAGATGCGGTTAGAGTGGGTCTGGGGATCCTCAAGGGAGAAGCCAGAAGAAAGCAATGCAGTTTCAAACAGCAGCACCACCAGGTCCTTGACGGCCTTGTCGTTCTTGTCAGCCTCAGCCTTCTGCCGCAGTGTCTCCACAATGGGGTGATCAGGGTTGATCTCCAGGTGCTTTTTGGCCATCATGTAGCCCATTGTAGAGTTGTCCCGAAGTGCCTGGGCCTTCATGATCCGCTCCATGTTGGCGGTCCAGCCATATGTGCTAGTCACAATGCAGCAGGGTGAAGACACAAGTCTATTGGAGATTGTCACCTGTGGAAACGGTCACAAAAACCTTAGACTTAACAATAATCAACCCGATTACTACTTGAAGGCAAAAACAAAGTTCCAATTCTGAGAAGAAACTGATTCAGTGCCTAATCTTTACAGATGTGTAAATTTTTATAAAAATAATCAAAACCTGACTGGGTGGGAGAGCAAGTGGCAAATGTGCCCTAAACAATAGACTGTCTACTAATTCAGTATTAACAACAGAGTTCTGAGAAAAAAGCAGCCTCACAGATATACCCAAGTTCCCTGATTGCTTACCTTCTCAACCTTCTTATCCAAGATTTCTTTCATGAGCTTGCAGAGGTTCTCAAACTTGGCCTTACTCTCCTCCATTTTCTTCTTCTCCTCTTCATCCTCAGGCAGCTCCAGGCCCTCCTTGGTAACTGAGACCAAGCTCTTTCCATCAAACTCCTTCAGCTGCTGCACGCAGTACTCGTCGATAGGCTCCGTCATATATACAACCTCAAAGCCCCTCTTCCTTACACGCTCCACAAAAGCAGAGTTGGCCACCTGCTCTTTGCTCTCACCTGTAGGGTTACTGCATGTGAGTAGAATGTCTCATACTCTCAGGTCCCAAGTAAGCCCTGCCCCACTCCCCAACCCCAAGTAAGCCCTGGCCCCACTCCCCCACCTCCACCCCTCCAAAAGCTAAGACAAGACCCAGGCTGCAACGCACCAGTGATGTAATAAATGGACTTCTGAGTCTCCTTCATGCGAGAGACATATTCTGAGAGAGAAGTCATCTCATCTCCGGATTGGGAAGTGTGATAGCGCAGCAGCTCCGAAAGGCGCCGCCGGTTAGTAGAGTCCTCGTGGATTCCAAGCTTTAAGGATGGAGAAAGAAAACAATTCAACTTATATGGAAATAATCTCGTTTCCTCTATGTGGATGGAGAAACCCATTAAGAAACTGGACCAAGTGACGAACCATTCGTATCCTTACCTTCAGGTTTTTCGAGAACGCCTCATAAAATTTCTTGTAGTTTTCCTTGTCTTCTGCCAACTCAGAGAAGAGCTCAAGGCACTTCTTGACAATGTTTTTGCGGATGACCTTCAAGATTTTGCTCTGCTGGAGCATTTCTCGGGAGATGTTGAGGGGCAGGTCCTCAGAGTCAACCACACCACGGATGAAGTCTGCAATAAACCAAGGCAAAAACTCAGTAAAAAAAACAGACTTGGTTTGGTCATCCAGACTCAACAAAAAGCTCCATTTGCTCACTGAACCTTCACTTATTATATTGCAGATGACCATAAATTATCAGGGATAAAGACTCTAATCCCATTAATGCTGAAGGTCTCATAACACTTCATCTGACAAAATACATTACACGTCACGGGGATATACTCACTGAGATACTCTGGTATCAACTCATCACAACTGTCCATGATGAACACACGGCGGACATAAAGTTTAATGTTGTTCTTCTTCTTCTTGTTCTCAAAGAGGTCAAAGGGAGCTCGGCGGGGGATGAACAGCAATGCCCTAAATTCCAGCTGACCTTCTACAGAGAAATGCTGAAACGAAGACGACCAAGATAAATCGATAGTGTTATTTCAGAATGAAAATGACTTTTAGTTCCAACACCAAAAGATCTGAGACTATCTGGAATGAATCTAGAATGGGACTAGTACTAACCACATACAATCCTTCAGTGAATGAGAAACAGTCACTAAAGTCAAAACCTTGGCTATATAAAGGACATTACAGAGTCTACCCCGGAAGGGTCATTAGTAAGTGAACTCCTTATGTGGCTCCAAGGCTTTCACAGGTCCCAGCCACCAACCAGTTGGGCAAGTTCTATTTGTCTAAAACCAGCAATATCCTCCTACCTCCTCTCCTACTGAACCAACACGCAAGGCTTCTCACCTTGACTGCCAAGTGGTCTTCCCAGTCATTAGTAAGGCTCTTATAGAATTCTCCATATTCCTCCTGGGTGATGTCATCAGGATTTCTGGTCCAAATGGGCTTAGTCTTGTTCAGTTCCTCTCGATCAATGTATTTCTCCTTAATCTTCTTGGTTTTCTTTTTCTTGTCCTTACCACTATCATCCTCCTCATCTGAGCCCACGTCTTCAATCTTGGGCTTCTCCTCATTGTCCTTATCTTCTTCTTTCTCACCTTTCTCTTCCTCTGCCTCATCATCGCTGATTTCCTTCTCTCGTTCCTTCTCCAACTAAACAGAAAAAAACAAACCCAATGCTGTCGAGTCAATTCCGACTCACAGCGACAACTAAAAGCACCACAAAAACAGTTGGTTCTGGAATACAAACACTAGGGAAAGCAGAAGCTGCGGACCATAAAGTTCTCCAGAACAGACACCTGCATCAGAGAGAAGGGAACGGTCCCCAGCCCATACTCACATAAAGGGTGATGGGATAGCCTATGAACTGCGAGTGCTTCTTCACTACTTCTTTGACTCGCCTCTCCTCTAAGTACTCTGTCTGGTCTTCTTTAAGGTGTAGAATCACTTTGGTACCCCGACCAATGGGCTCACCTAGAAAAAACAAATCAGTTGCAACAGAACCTAAGCAGGTAAAGACTATTTAACTGTATTGCAATAGAGACTGCTTTACAGTAGAATACTCAAAATTTCTACTACAGAATACACTAAAGAATTCTAACCCATTCAATCTTTAACATGAAATCCATAGTACTTACCGTGGTCAGCACGAACAGTGAAGGAACCCCCAGCAGAAGACTCCCAGGCATACTGCTCATCATCATTGTGCTTTGTGATCACAACCACTTTCTCTGCCACCAAATAGGCAGAATAAAAGCCAACACCAAACTGCCCAATCATAGAGATGTCTGCACCAGCCTGCCAAAAAAAAAAAAAAAAAAAAAAAATCAACCAAGTTTTGAAGAAACTGCAAGCCAAAGAACACAGATGAATGTAAATGGTGTGTGCCTAGCTGAAATGCTACATACCTGCAGAGCCTCCATAAATGCTTTGGTACCAGACTTGGCGATGGTTCCCAAATTATTTATGAGATCAGCCTTGGTCATGCCAATGCCTGTGTCCACCAGTGTTAAAGTCCGTTCTTGGGGATTGGGGATGATATCAATTTTCAGCTCTTTACCACTATCTAACTTTGAAGGGTCTGTCAGGCTCTCATATCGAATCTTGTCCAAAGCCTGAAAACAACACAAACAGTATCTTTAGGATTCTGCTTTCTTAAAGCCTACCTCCCTCTTCATCCAAAGAAAATCTTTTGGTTTTCTACTCCCAAACCACCCATTGCCGTCGAGTTGATTCTGATTCATATTGACCCTATAGGACAGAGTAGAACTGCCCCGTAGGGTTTCCAGGGAGCAGCTGGTGGATTTGAACTGCCAACCTTTTGGTTAGCTGCTGTTTAGCTCTTAACCACTGCGCCACCAAGGCTCCTTTCTACTCCCAAACAGCCTGAATTCTGATTACCCTTTGAAGTGAGGCTCAAGAATTAGTTACTTACATAGGTGGTGTCCAGGGAGACCTCCCCCTCCCTTTCAAGCTCAAAATGGCTCCATAGGGCAAGGTTTATTACCTTCAACAGTTGTCGTGTGCCAACTCACAGTGACCCTACAGGACAGCAGAACTGCCCCAGTTTCCTATACTGTTACCTTTATGGGAGATATCCAAGTCTTTTCTCCTGGGCTAGTGAGTTAAAACCACCAGCACTCTAAAGCTTAATCATGGTGCTACCAGAGCTCCTTCCTTCAACAGTAGCCCCCACCAAATGTCAAACTACCCATCTCCCTCTTCTGGGGTACTCAGACTACACCAATGGAGACGCCCAAAAAAACTCACATCAGAAGCGTTAGAGATTAACTCCCGAAGGAAAATTTCCTTGTTGGAATAGAAGGTATTGATAATAAGAGACATGAGCTGGGCAATCTCTGCCTGGAAGGCAAAAGTCTCCACCTCCTCCTCTCCATGGTGTACTTCCTCAGGCATCTGCAATAAGAACAGTCAAGAATTATAGAGGAACAGGATACCCTATGTATTTGCTCTTTCATGTCCCAAACTCCTACAGTTCACCCTGTCAAAAAGTCTAAGTAAAAAGTGGTTTAGCTCAAGGGGCTTTGAACTGGGTGCTACTCATTCCCAAGAGACTGGAGAGCCTTTTTTTTTAAAGACATCAACCTACATCCAAAGTGGAAAGCCAATTAAGAAAATACTAAAATGTTATTTTAACAAAACAGGCTTTTTTTGGAAGGTATCTAGAACTCTGCTACTCAGTGGGTCCAGGAACCTCATTCTCTTAGCAGCTTGTTAGAGATACAATACATTGGCCCCATCTTAGACCTTTGGAAGGCCCAGGGAAAGCCCTACTACACACATTTAA